GGTGGTGTTGGGGTAGGGAGGTACAAGGGGATCTCTGAGTGGGTATTGGCAAACTCCCCAAGTGACATTCAGGCCTCAGAGGCTGCACAGCTGGCACTTAGCGTGTTCTCCAATAAATGGCAGCCACCAGGGGGCTGTGCTCAGCCTGTGGCTCCTGCTACAACGTCGGACCTGGCTTCCAGGATGTGTAGTGCAGCCAGTGAACACCCCTCACACCCTGTACCCGCTGACTTTGTGCTCCCTCCCCCAGGACCATCCTCCTGAGCGTCATCTCCCTCCTCAACGAACCCAACACCTTTTCCCCAGCTAACGTGGACGCCTCTGTGATGTACAGGAAGTGGAAAGAGAGCAAAGGCAAGGACCGGGAGTACACAGACATCATCCGGTAAGGAAGGGCTCCCAGATGACCTGGCTTCTCACATCTGTCCACAGGGCAGGAGTCACTAATGGGGAAACCTAGGCCACTGGACAGTGGAAAAGATCCAACCAGATTCAAGCCCAACCCATTGGTTCTTTCCTCCTGTCTTTTCTCTCTCTCTCTCTCTCTCTCTCTTCCTCTCCTCCTCCTCCTCCTCCTTCTCCTTTTTAAAAGAAAATTGGGTGTTTTTTGCAATTTCAAATATCTTTCATACAAGTCCATGTATTTAATGTAGTAAGTAGACATACTGTGTGTGTGTGCATATTGGGATATGGGTTATCACACCCACAGGCATAATAGTGCAGCACAGAAATAGACACCCAGGTGTCCAGCAGCGAGCTCCAGAGGTCCTCCCAGGGTTCCCTTTACCCCTTGCCCCCCTCTCTCCAGGGCAGCATCTCTGAGAATGGGGCCTGTGGTAAGTGTGTCCAGCAAATGGGGGTATGGCTTGCCTATCCGCTTTTAGGTGCTTCATGATCCACATCCAGGCATACACGTGTCCTTCCACTGCTTGTTTCTGTTCCTCATCAGTTTTTCATATGGTCATTTTTCATGTTACTGAGATTGTGCTTTGTGTAATGTTTTATCTTTCCCACTTAATAATTTGCTGTTGCGAACATCACTTAAGTTTGTAATTTTGAAACTTGGAATCATTATTTAAAGGCAGAAAAACCATATGGTATCAGCATATTTAGAAAATAGCCTTCTTTTCTGAAAAGATAACTTTTTTTTCTTGGTTCTAAGAGCAATGTATTACTTAAGGATTTGCAAGAATTAGCCTCTTATTCTTGTAGTTGTTCCCAGTGCTCTTCCCTCACAAATGAGCAGGCAAACATCTTCCAGACTTTATATGGTGGATTCTCAGCAGTGCGGGTGCCAGATCGGGGACTGAACCTTGTTTAGGGCTCTGGGTGTGCAATCCATTGGCTTTCTGTCCAAGCTATGTGACCCATTCTTTTGCCTATTCTGTTTGTCCAATTCTGTGAGCTCTTGTGTCCATTGTCCATTGTCACTTTTTATCATGGAGTTTACTGATTTGTTTCATGACAAACGGCCCTTTATTAGGATTTTTTCTAAATACCTTTCAGTTTGTCATTTACCTTTTATTTTTTGCTTATTTATATTTTTATTGATTTCAGGGAGGAAGGGAGAGGGAGAGAGAGATAGAAACATCAATGATGAGAGAGAATCACTGATTGGCTGCCTCCTGCATGCCCCCTACTGGGGATGGAGCCTGCAACCCGGGCATGTGCCCTTGACTGGAATCCAACCTGGGACCCTTCACTCTGCAGGCTGACGCTCTATCCACTGAGCAAAACCAGCTAGGGCTCATTTACCTTTTAATTAGAAAAGCCAATAAGAAGTTAAACACACCCCTGCCTTATGGCCCAGTCATTCCAGGCTTCAGTACTTACCCAAGAGAAACAGGCACATTCTGCACCAGCATCCATGCAATGTTCAAAACAGCATCAACTCACCAAAAACAAACAACAACCCAAATGTACATCCACGGTGAAGGATGAGCAAGCTGTGGCCTGTTCACCAGCCATGTGGACACATCTCCAGGTGTTAAGCTTCGTGAAGGAAGCCAGGCAAACAAGGGAGCACACTCCTGGACAGCAATCCTAGGAAGTGCATCTGTGGCCATCAGAGATATGGGCTTTAAGAGGCATAGGGGCCATAACCAGTTTGGCTCAGTGGATATATCGTTGGCCTGCAGACTGAAGGGTCTCAGGTTCGATTCCAGTCAAGGGCACGTGCCCGGGTTGCGGGCTCAGTTCCCAGTGAGGGGTGTGCAGGAGGCAGCCAATCAGTGATTCTCATCATTAATGTTTCTAGCTCCTCCCTTCCTCTCTCAAATCAATAAAAATATATATATATATTTAAAAAAGGCATAGGGGCTCTGGCTTGTTTAGCTCAGTGGATAGAGCATTGAACCACATCCAATACAGCCAAGGGTGAACCTGAGAAGGGGTGGTGAAGGTTTAAAGAAAATAGACAAGAGAATACAGCTGGGGCTAGGTAGGATCACTACCTAGATGAGAAAACAGTGACAGCTTGTAAGCGAAGCTTTATTTTATAGTCAGATCACACAAAGCAAAACAAGGGCAAGATGTTTACAATGTTCTTGCGAGTTTCAAAATCTATTTTGTTACTCAAGCCTTGTTTTGGCAGCACTTGCTGCACTTCTCACAGCTGATTAGCTACCTAGGAACAAGGGAGGACTATAAGGTCAAGCTTAATTGTGCTAAGAGGGCTCTGCCCTCCAAGCTGGGACTTGTATGTGGCTCTGCCACAGGTGAGTCTGAGGCTTGACTCTATAGTCCCTCCCTACAGAGCGTCAGCCTGCGGACTGAAGGGTCCTGGGTTCGATTCTGGTCAAGGGCACATGCTCAGGTTGCAGGCTTGATCCCCAGTGGGGGGCGTGCAGGAGGCTGCCCATCAATGATTCTCATCATTGATATTTCTCTCTCTCCCTCTCCCTTACTCTCTGAAACCAATAAAAATATATTTTAAAAAATAAAAATAAAAGAGGCATAGGGGCGTCTGGGGTGATGGGTACATTTGTGGGGTGCTTTCAGGAGGCACAATGTAGGTCAGAGCTCACTGCTGACACATTACATGGGTTCAGTTCGTGTTATTAAAGCTATGGACAAATCAAATAACGAAGGCAAAAACATGTATATACAAATAGAAGCAAAAACCCCATGATCCTAATACCTAATGGTTAATGTCTGGGTGTATCCTTCCAGATGTTTATCCAAAAAATGGGACCACGCTGTATAGGCCACTTTGTAAACAACTTTTTAGTGAGGTTTGTTGAGATGTCTGTCCAGTGGAGCTCATCCTTTTTTGGAGTCAGTTTGGTGAGTTTTGATAGTTAACATAATTATCTCCTTGCTGAGGTGCAGATCCAGCTCCACCAGCTGAAACTTTCCTCCCACTCTCCACCATCCCTTCCCTCCCACTCTACCCCAGCAGCCCCTGCTCTTACCTAGAAAGTAGGAAACAGCCTTTAGTAGCTTCCTGGGGCCTGATCTTTGAGGCTGTCCATGTGTTTACTTGTCATAACTTGCTTTTCCCTTCCTAAGAAACCAACCATTTTTTGTCTCTAAACAGCCCTCAGTTCTCTGTTTCACCTCATCCTGGAGTTTGACTAGTCCCCGGTCTTACCCACATGTGTGTGCACCTGTGAGCAAATGTACGTGCACACATGGCATTGGTGGCCTTGCAGTGTCAGGTCTTCTACCTGTCCTGTGGTGCCCCTCTCTATCAACTTCTGTTTTATTTTCCTTTACTAAATTCTGCTGGCTTTTTTTAGTCTGGCCTGTTTTTGCTGGTTGTTCTGTAGTGGTTTATGTAACAATTTTCTAAATCACTTTGACACACACAGCCCCCAGGGGACCCATGAGCAACAGGGTGCACCCTTCTCTGTATCCCCCTGTGGTCCCGGGAAAGCTGTCCTTGATGCTGGGCATAGTTTCCAGCCTGTGGAGCGGATGATGAACTGTGATGGACATGGCAACACTAGTCCCCCACCAGCCATCCTAGGAGGTGCTTGGCAAGCACCCGCTCTGCCAGCCTCATTTGATACTTGTGCACAACCCTCAGGGTCTCAGGGTGAGTGCTGGTGGCACCTTCAGAGTATCCTGCCCACGTGGCCCGCTCCTTTGCCAGTTCTTCCCCGCCACCTCCCACATGGTGCCGAAATAAAATCCAGACTATTTTTATCCCTCCAGACTCCCTGTGGGCCAGCTCACATGTGTCCACGTGGGTAGCTGTGATGGCTGCTTTCTGCCTGTGTGCTCACCCCCATCTGCGTTCCCACATGTTCTGTCAGCGTGACCAGGCAGAGCCCCTGGTGGGCTTAGAGGTTTTAGCATCTGTGGATTGGTCCTGCAAGGTTCCAGTTTCAGATGTACTTGGTGCTGGGGCTAGGGTGTGACGGTCAGGTGTATGTCCCATGGGATGTTACTACCCTGTGTCACCTCATTTGTCCTCCCTTTCACTGTAAACAGGAGCATTTCCCAAACCTCGCCTGCTGCCTCGTGAGCAGTGCAGTGCTGAGTCCACACTTTCCAGGGTGAGCCCGTCCCATCCTTTCTCTCTCTCCCAGGGTGCTGTCCCCACCGTCCACTTTTCCTCCCTCTGCCTGCCTCCTAGGCTCCTCAGCTGGTTGAAGTCCTCAGCTGTGGCCCTGGAGGACTAACCCCCCTTGATACTTTGTCAGCTGGGTTAAGTGTACACTTTCGTGGCATCCTTTTAAACCTAGTGTAGCAATCTTCCGGGATCCTTGGTCCCTGCTGCAGTGTCCCCTGTGGCTTGGCCCTGGTCAAGCCCCTCTCCGGGGCTTAGCTGCTTGGTCACCTCCTTTCCTCCAAGGGCATCTGGCTGTGGACCCTGACCAGGCCATAGCTCGCCTGACTCCCTGCCTGTCTCTCCCCCAGGAAGCAGGTGTTGGGGACCAAGGTAGACGCGGAGCGGGATGGTGTAAAGGTGCCCACCACGCTGGCTGAGTATTGCGTGAAGACCAAGGCCCCGGCGCCCGATGAGGGCTCGGACCTCTTCTACGATGACTATTACGAGGATGCCGAGGCCGAAGCTGACAGCTGCTTTGGGGACGATGAGGATGACTCTGGCAACGAGGAGTCCTGACACCATGTCCCGCGCCGAATAAACTTACAGATTTTACCTCACCAGGCCCAGACTCTGTGGGCTCTCAGGCACCTCCTGACGCCGAGACTACCTCAGGGAGGTGGCTCCGCTCTTGCCTTGTCTCCTTGGTCTCGCTTTCCTTTTCCCATGTTTGTTCTGCACCAACCTCTCCTTGGCCTCCCCAAGGACTACAGGGTACAGTGGCCAGGCCTGATGCCTGTAGCACCTAAGTGCATGGAGCCCAGGGGCAGGCCTAGCACCTGGGTGCACTCCTGAGGCTGAGGATGTGGGCCCAAGGTCCTGAGCCCTAGGCTGGAAACAACCAGCAACCTCCAGCCCTCAGGTGGCTCCACCCTACTGCCTGCAGACGCTGCACCCAGTGTCACCCAAGCCTCTGACGTTATTTCTGTGTAACTGAAAAGCCTGGAGCAAGCTGGATCCAGGGTCCGATGGTGACATCAGAACAAAGGCCCAAGTGAGCCCTGGCCTGACTGGTTACTGTGGCTGGAGCCTGTATGACCCCCATGCAGGTGGCGGACAGGTGCACCTGGGCCCTGGCAGACCCCGTAGAGCCTACGCACCTGGTCTGCTTCCTGCTCCATGAATGCACCACAGCCCCAGTGCCACAAGCACAGCTTTTATAGTTGGCCCTCACAATTTTGTTTGTTTGTTAACATGAATGATTTTCCTACATTAAAATGTGCAAAGTTTCACCCAGTTGTTTTAATTTCTTGCTTTCCTTAAACTCAACTGGTGGGCAGCACAGGGCCAGTGAGGCTCCTCTACTCTGATGAACACACCCAACTCACCAGAGCACTCAACTGGATTTGAGAAGAGTTCCGCCACCCCCATGGCACCACACCCTTCCTCCTCCCTGGGCCTTGTCTAGGAGCCTCTGAGCCCCACTGTGCATTACAGGTGAGGCAGCCCGCAGAGCACCCATGAATATTCTTGGGCCCCCACATGTATGACCCTCTGCAGGCACCAAGGCCAGGACAACGGCCTGTGTTTTTAACTTGCAGGCACCTCCTGCTGCTCAGGCCTGGGGATGCACAGCCTCTTTTCAGTTCCTCTTTTAAGTTAGAGGCATTTCCTGAGGGGGAAGCTGAGTCAGCCTTTGCACCTTGCGGGTGGTGAGGGGGAAGATGTCACCCACAGTGCGAGCTACTCTTGGGGTGTTTCCTGTGTGCCCGGCAAGTTGGTGGCAGCCTCCTGAATGTCAGTGAAAGGGAAGGGCCTCCTGGGGCCCAGGAGCCACTAGGCTGCACCAGAAAGCCTTGTATTAGCAAACCAGGACCCTTGGCCAAACTAGCCACACCCACTTTACCTGGGTCTGGCTGTTGATGAGCTGCAGCTTCAGTACTGAATAATGTCCCAAAAAGCCAAAAGTACTTAGTTTGGCCATTTATAGAACATTTTGTCAACCTCTGTCTTAGAGTCATGCCAGCACCCACTGCCACCCTCTGGCTTGTTGGTTCAGCTTCTCTCCTTTGGACCTCTTCCCTGTCTCCACACTCCCAGTGCCACAGAGCAAACCACCTGAACTTAGTGACATAGAGCCACTGCCACTGTATACTCCGCTTCTGTGGGCCAGGAATCAGGCAGCTTGTCACCTCGTCACCATGTCTAGGTGATTTAAATCCTGGGACCTGGGGTCTTGTGGAGGCATCTTAACTCAGGCTGGGCGCCTGGGCTGGGGCAACTTCAAGCCCAGGTTCAGAGGGACTGAGTGGCCCGCACATGCCCCCGAACCCATCACCAGGGCTTCCTCTCAGCATGGTGGCACAGGCTCCAAGATGACGGTCCCAGGAGCAAGGTCGTTCCTGAGCAGCCTTGGAGGTCACACCACGCCGCTTCAGCTGCACACAATTGGTCTAAAAAGGCACAAACCCACCCAGATTCTAGGAGGGGGCACACAGACCCTAGGGAGCATGTCTGAGAATCGGCGGCCATGTTCTAAAATCGCCACAAGCCCAGTCACCGTGGCTCAGTGGTTGAGTGTCAACCTACGAACCAAGAGGTCATGGATCAATTGCCGGTCAGAGCAAAAACAGGACACATGCCTGGGTTATGGACTCAATCCCCCGGGCGGGGGGGAGGGGGGGCAGCGCAGGTGAAGGGGGGGCCATGCAGGAGGCAGCCAATCAATGATTCTCATCATTGATGTTTCTATTGCCCCCTCTTCCTTCCTCTCTGAAATCAAAATATTTTTTAAATAAATAAAACCGCCACAGTCTGCCCTGGCCAGTGTGGATCCGTTGGTTGGAGCATCGTCCCATATACCAAAAGGTCGCAGTTTGATTCCCAGTCAGGGCACATACCCAGGTTTCAAGTTCAATCCCCAGCTGGAGGCAACCGATCCTTGTTTCTCATATCAATGTCTCTCTCTTTCTCTGTCCCTTCCTCTCTCTCTAAAATCATAAAAGCATGTCCTCGGATGAGGATTTTTTAAAAATAAATAAAACCGCCACAATCTGTCCCCTTTTCCTCCATAGACTGTACTCTACACGATTGCCAACAGAGCGTTTGCGCACACAGATGTGACTAAAATATCTGAGGCCTCCAGTTTTGAATCATCTTTACTGACCAAGCCAAGGACAGGTGGCTTTGACATGCAGAACTTCAGTGTTCTAAGCTGCATAATCTATATATATAAAAGTCTAATATGCAAATTGTCCCCATGGGAGTTCAACCGGGAGACTGATCACTCGCTATGACATGCACTGACTACCTGGGGGTGGTGTGGAACGAAGGGAGGCCCTGGCCGGCATCCAGAAGGCTCCGATCAGCCCTGATTGCCGGCCAGGCCTAGGTACCCTACCTTTGCATGAATTTCATGCACTGGGCCTCTAGTGGGGTTAATAATTAGAGTTGAGCCCTAGCTGGTTTGGCTCAGTGGATAGAGCTTTGGCCTTGGACTGAAGGGTCCCAGGTTCCATTCTAGTCAAGGGCACGCACCTTGGTTGCAGGCTCCTCCCCAGCCTGGGCCTGGGTCAGGGCTCATGCAGGAGACAACCAATCGATGTTTCTCTCTGTCTCCCTGACCTGTGGTCAGCAGGATAACAGTCCCAGAGATGTCCATTCCCTAATCACAGAGTCTGCTCTGGGGAAAGGCAGGAAACAGTTCTTCCCTGAGGGTCCTGCCTACACTGGGGTTTAGCCCAGTGAGACCCACTTACTACTTCTAGCTTCCAGAACTAAGAGAATAAATTTGTGTGGTTTTAGGCACTGAATGTGAGGTAATTCCTTAATCTGTTACAGCTGCAGGCGGAAACCAACATCCCCAAACTCCGCTTTCTCTGTGTGGGCCTCCTCTCACTTTGGGCCACCCCCGATCTGACATCCTTCAGCTCCAAGTCCAGCAGAGAGTGAGGCCTGTTTCTGAAAAGTTCCAGTAGAAGAAACCTACACCATGGCCCTCGATGAGACTGCTTAGAACAGTGGTTCTCAACCTTCCTAATGCCGCGACCCTTTAATACAGTTCTGCATGTTGTGGTGACCCCCAATTTCATTTTACAAATTGAACATAATTAAAGCATAGTGATTAATCACAAAAACAGTATGTAGATATATATGTGTTTTCCAATGGTCTTAGGCGACCCCTGTGAAAGGGTCGTTCGACCCCCAAAGGGGTCGCGACCCACAGGTTGAGAACCGCTGGCTTAGCACATTCTGCCCTGAACCAAAAGAGGGGGAATGGAGCAATCTGATTGGCCAATTTGAGTCACATGGGTAGGGAGGGCTGAGGAGTAGGCTGGGAGGGAGGGAGGACTGAAGCCCTTGGGAGCCTTCATAACTGCCCCGACCATGCCTGGCCCAGAACAGACATCACTGTTCAATATAGCACTCCATGCAGGTGAGCCTGACTAGGACCCTCAGATTTGTGGTCATCCCCCAAGTGCTCATAGCACACGAGTGTTCCTATCATCTGTATCCAGAATAACCAAAGTTTGGAAACAGCCCAAATGTCCACAGAATGATGAAGGGATAAACAAGATGCAGTCCATCCATACAATGGAATATGATTCAGCCTTACAAAGGAAGGAAACGCTGCTATGTGTTACAGCCTGGATGAACCTTGAGGACATTATGCGCAGAGAAATAAGCCAGACACAGAAGAACAAACATTGTGCAACTCCACTCATACGTGGTCCCTAGAGGAGTCAAATCTGTAGAGACAGAAAGTAGATAAGTGGGTGCCAGAGACCGGGGGTGGGGGCAGGGGAAGGTTTCGTATTTAATGGGGACAGACTGTCAGTTTGGGAAGATGAGAAAGTACTGAAGATGGATGGTGGGGTTGAGTGGCTACACAACATGAATGAGCTTAATGCCACTGAGCTGTATATTTAAAAATGGTTAAGATGGTACATTCTATGTTATATATGTATTTCGTCATGATAAGAAACAGGGGGGCAAGAAAACAATCACCTTAAAACCACACACACAGAGGTGTGAGATGAGGGTTGAACATGATGGGATATTAGATGATGAGGGGGAACTTTTGTTAATTTTTCAGGCGTGATGTGTAGTGTGGTTTTCTCTTCAGAGAGACTTTTCTGAAATGCTTCTGGGTGAAAACCAACTAGAAAAAAATCCCTTAAAACCACACACACAGAGGTGTGAGATGAGGGTTGAACATGATGGGATATTAGATGATGAGGGGGAACTTTTGTTAATTTTTCAGGCGTGATGTGTAGTGTGGTTTTCTCTTCAGAGAGACTTTCTGAAATGCTTCTGGGTGAAAACCAACTAGCTGGGGTGGGGTGTGTGCTGTGGAGAGAGAAGCTGTGTATGCGACCTCCCCTATAGGAAGGGGTGGGAGGGGTGGGAGGTGCTGGGGGCCCAGGCAGCACCCAAGGCTGAGTTCCCCAGCGCCATGGAGGCCTCCTTATCTCTGCTGCTGCTGCTGGCCCCGGGGGTCCTTTGGGCAGGTGAGTGGGAGCTGAGCAAGGGGGGAAATGCCTGAAGGGTTGGGCGCCGGGTGTTCATGGGTGGGCATCACAACAGATTGGAAACAAGTCCGTTGTCCCCAGAAGGTGACTGATGGAAGAGAGGTCGGCCGCTCCAAAAAGGAGGCAAGGCTGAGCCGGGGCCCTGAGGTAGAAAAGTCAGGTCACATCAGGGCAGACACTTTCAGATTTTTTCATTTGGACTTAACTTTGATCTTACAGAAAAGTCACTAGAATCCTACAGGTAACTCCCATCTCCTCCTCCTAGATTTCTCAACTGTAAACCTATTGCCGCAGTTGCCTTATCAGCCGCCTCTGGGTGTGTGTATAAAAAATAAATATATGTGTTATTGTTATGAACCAATAGAGAGTAAGTTTCAGGTGCATGGCCTCTCACTCTTAAATGCCATGGGGTGTTTTCTGTGAGCAAGGATGTTCTCTGCACACTCATGGCAGGATTCTCCACACCGTGCATTCATACTAGCTCATCTACAGACCTTACTCAAAAGTCCCTGTAAGCGTTCCTCATGGAAACAAACCACCTGACCACCTCCTCCTCCTCCACTACGGGCAGTTTCTTTGTTTCCCCCTGGGTCTTGCGATGCTGGTATTTGTGATGCCTGTGGGTCTGCCTGCTGTGTCCCTAAGGATGGGTTCGGGTTGTGCATTTTCTGCAGGAATCACAGAGGGTTCGCGCCTGCTTCCTGGTGCCATTGTCTAGATCACTTGGTGAAGCTGACAGTCACCAGATGTCCCCAGAGTAAAATCATTAATTTCCTCTTGTAGTTGTTTTATGGGGAGACTCTGGGACTCTGAAAATATCCTGTGCTCCTCACATCTCACCCTGGAGCTGGATTCACAGAGCACCACAGAAGGTGGGGCAGATGCAGACTTTTTGCTTCCTGGCAGCACCCGACAGGCAGGGTCCTGATATACATACTGGATTGCAAAGCAAGAAACTACAACCTAGTGAGTGAGGCGACCTGCCCAGCATCGCCTGGTTGGGAGGACAAAGCTGGAATTTGAGCCCCTGCTGGCTGCCTCGCCAAACCATATATGCTTGGCCAGGACTCATGCCCGGGAGCTTAAGATAAAAGGGGGTGGGTGATGGGCATCGCAGAATTCTAGCGGGGCTGGATGAGGATGACTGTGATGAATTGGGGACCCAGTGGGATACGTATTCAATCACCCACCCATCATCATTTCTCTCTCTCCCTTCCTTCCATCCATCCATCATTCTTTCTCACTTTCTTCCTTCCTCTTTTCTCCCTCTCCCTTCATCTTTTCTCCCTCTCCCTTCCTTCTATTACACATCCATCCATCTTTTTTTTTTTTCATTACCACCAAACCAGCACTGCAAGAAATGCTAAAGGGACTGTTGGAAGAAGAAGAAATAGAGAGGGAGGAAGGGAACATCGATGTGAGAGAAACACATGGATTGGTTGCGTCCCACACATGCACCCCAACTGGGTGCTCTACCCACTGAGCAACACCAGCCAGGGCTCTCCATCATTCTTTCTCTCATTCTTCCTTCCTGCCATCCATCCTCCATCCACCCATCATCCTTTTTCTCTCTTTCTCCCTTCCTTCCTTCCATTCATTTATCAGCCATCCATCATTCAGCCATCAGCCATCCATTCATCTATTACCCATTTATCCATCATCCATTTACCATTCATCCATTCATCAGTTGTCAGCCACCCATCATCCATTATCTATTTTGTCATTCATCCATCAGTATTTGCTGAGCACATACTGTTCAGGCCTTTTGTAAACACGACAGGCTCAGGGCCTACCCCCGAGGACTAGTGGGGTAGACAGTCAATGAGCAAGTCTGTGTGCGACACACTGGCAGGAAGGGCTGAGTGCTAGGGAGAGAACAGAGCAGAGGACGGAGTGGAGGGTTATATTAAGGAAGTTGGGGCGCAGGGGTCTCTGAGGAGATGGCTTTCGAGCAGATACCCAAGGAGGAAGCTAGAGTGGGGAATGTCTGGAGGAAAGGCTGCCAGAACAGCGTGTGCAAGGAGCTGAGGTGGGAATGAAGGCAGCGCACTGGAGGAGCCGCCGGGGGTGGTGTGGCTGCAGTGGAATGAGGAGATGTGGGAAGGAGGCAGGACTAGCTGATATGGCTCTTGTGAGTCATGGGGAGTTTGGATGTTTAAAGCATGAAGGGGAATCATAGGAAGATTTTGATCTGATTTACATTTTAAAACTTTTAAAAATATATTTTTTATTGATTTTAGAGAGGAAGGGAGAGGGAGAGAGAGAGATAGAAACATCAATGATGAGAGTCATCATAGGTTGACGCTCATCCACTGAGGCACACCAGCCAGGCCACTTTACAACTTTTTTTCAACCTTTTAAAATTAATGATTGGCCCTAGCTGGTTTGCCTCAGGTGGATAGAGCGTCAGCCTGCGACTAAAGAGTCCCGGGTTCGATTCCAGCCAAGGGCACATGCCCGGGTTGTGGACTCGATCCTCAGTAGGGGGCGTGCAGGAGGCAACCGATCAATGATTCTCTCTCATCATTGATGTTTCTTTCTCTCTCTCCCTCCCCCTTCCTCTCTGAAATCAATAAAAACAAAAAAAATAAAATCATGATTGATTTTAAAACAATTTTTATAACATTTTCATTTTTTTGTTTTTAAAATGTTTTTCTTGATTTTTAGAGAGAGGAAGGGGAAGGGATAGAGAGATAGAAACAATGATGAGAGAGGATTATCATTGATGGGCTGCCGCCTGCACTCCCCCTACTGGGGATCGAGCCCACAACACGGGCATGTGCCCTGGCCAGGAATTGAGCCCTGACCTCCTGGTTCCTGGGTCAACGCTCAACTGCTGAGCCACACCAGCCAGCCTATAACATCTTTATTGAGATATCATTCACATGTCATACAATTCACCCTTTTAAATGATATAATTCAAGTGTTTTTAGTGCATTCGGAGTGTTTTGCCACCAGCACCTGTATCTAGTTCCAGAACGTTCCCATCACCCCAAAATGCAGCCCCATTCCCATTAGCAACCACTCCCCATTCCCTCTCACAGCCCCTGGCATCCATTAACCAAACCCCTTCTGATCTCTGTGAATTTGCCTGTTCTGGACATAAATGGAATCACACTGTGTGGCCTTTGGTGTGTGGCGTCTCTCACTGAGCATCATGTGTTCAAGGTCCATGTGTAGTGAGTGTCAGGGCTTCACTCCATTGTTATTCATCACCTAATGCTGGAGATTTGAACTGTTCCCGCTTTTCCGCAATGTGTGAGCCCCACTGCCGTGAACGTGTATGCACACGATTTGTGTGGATGTATGTTGTCATTTCTCTTGGAGGGGAGTTTCTGGGTCGGGTGGTAACACTTTTAACCTTTGAGGAACTGCCAGGTTGTATCCACAGTGGCTGCACCATTTTATATCCCATGGAGGGGATGTGAGGGTCTAGTTTCTCCACTTTATTTATTTATTTTTAATATATTCTTATTGATTCAGAGAGGAAGGGAGAGGGAGAGAGATAGAAACATCAGTGATGAGAGAGAATCATTGATTGGCTGCTTCCTGCCTGGCCCCCTGGCATGTGCAACCCGGGCATGTGCCCTGACCGGGAATCAAACCCAGGACCCTTCAGTCCTCAGGCCGATGCTCTATCCACTGAGCCAAACTGGCTAGGGCTAGTTTCTCCACTTTAAACAGCTCCTCCAGCTGCTGCGATAGGCTGCCGCTCTGTGGTGCCCAGGGATGGAATGTGAATACCAGATGGTCACCTGCTGGTAACCAGGATGTGGGGGTGAGGGATGAGGAGGGATCAAGGGCAGCCCTACCTGTCAAGCTGAATGTCTCGAGTAACAGAGGGGGCTGTGTTAGGGTCCAGGCTTCTCGGGCTTGGGATGGAAGGGTCGTGGGGGTGGGGCACCCAGCCCTAACCTGGCACTCTGTTCCTCTCCCCAGGAAGTGTCGCATTTAAGACCCACATCATCGGTGGTCATGAGGCTGTCCCCCACTCCCGGCCATACATGGTCTCGCTGCAGAAAGCCGGCACCCACTTCTGTGGGGGAGTCCTCGTACACCCGCGGTGGGTGTTGACAGCTGCCCACTGCGTGGTTCAGCCGTGAGTGACCCTGACCTGCCCAGCCCTCTGTCGCCCCAGGCATCCCTATTCTCACTAGGGAGTGGGTCCGGACAGATTTAAGCCAATTATAGGCTCATAGGGGTGTCCCCTTTCCCTCTCCTGTGATTGCTATGGCATGTGTGTGTGACATCGGCCTGAGGCATGCGTAAGTGACATTAGGCTGCAGGATTCCTAGGGAAGCTTTACTTGACACCACAAAGCACCTTCCAACTGGGCAGAGTTAGGCCTCTTGTGACACCCAGGAATGTGTCTCCCCCTGTGGCCATGGGGATAAGCTGGTCTGTGAGAGTGGCAGAACCAACCCAGGAAGCCACCAAATCAATCAATCTTGGGGCTGCCCTACCTCTGGACTAGCCGCTACTAAAGATCCCAGATCAAACTGGTCAAAGTAACCAAAGGGGATCTGTTGGCTTGTGTAACTGAAAAGTCTAGGAGGACATAAGGCTTCAGGAACAGCTGGATCCAGGTGCTTGCACGAGCTAGTCAGGAGCCTGCCCCTCAGCTCTTCTGCTGTGTCCCTCGGCCATATAATCAGGAAGGTTCTCACAAGGTGGCAAGGGTGGGCCCCCTTAGATCCTGTGGAAAGTTTGTTTCTCTATAGTTGGGGCAAAGTTATGAGGATTGATACTGATGAGCCTACCTAGGGCTTGTGCCAGCCGTAGAACAAATCACTGTGATTGGGGTATAGCGTATGCCCTGGATGGGGCTGGAGCCCCTCTGAGGGCAGCGCCACACTGAAGGTCATCATTTTTGGACACACAGCGCCTACCTCTGGTCAGGAATGAACTGGAGTCTGGGGCAGGGGTGGCAGCAGGGATAGCTTCCTGGAGAAGGTGGAGAGGAGGCAGTTGAGAAGGAGCAGGGGAAGGACCAGGCAGAGAGAGGCCTGGTAAGGGAGCAGGGGGAGGGGCAGGATCGAGGACCCCTTGGCCTTGAACTCAGCCTAGATGGACCCTGGAAGCAAGGCTCAGGGTACAGGGGGGATGAGGGAGGGGGGTCCGGAGGCTGCAGGATGGCAGTCCGTACCCTGATCCTGCCGCCCACAGGACCCAACAGCTGAGGCTGGTGCTGGGGCTCCACAAGCTCAGAGACTTTGGCCTCACCTTCCGAGTCAAGGCAGCAGTCCTGCACCCCAAGTACAAGCCGGCCCCCAAACTGGACAACGACCTCGCGCTGCTGCAGGTGCGGGGCCTGGCGGGAGGAGTGACAACTGCACCCAGGTCCCGTCTCCCGCTGCCGCTGCCCCCTGCCCCACTGTCTCTCACTCACCTGTCTCTTTCTGTCACCTGTAGCTGGACGCTAAGGTGCGTAGCAGCAGGACTGTGCGGCCCCTGGCCTTGCCCCGAGGGCGCCAGGCAGTGGCAGCAGGAGCAAGGTGCAGTGTGGCAGGCTGGGGGCTGACCCAACAGAGCGGGCAGCTGGCGGGAGCGCTGCAGGAGCTGGACATGCATGTGCTGGACGCCAGGATGTGCAACAACAGCCGCTTCTGGAAAGGCAGCATCACCCACAACCTGATCTGCCTGGAAGTCAAATCCAAGGATCAGGTCCCCTGCAAGGTGAGGGGCAGCAGCAGGGAGGCGAGGCAGCCTGGCCTGAGGGAAGGGCAGAAGCCTCGGCCAGGGGGGACCTGGGCCCCAGTTCTGTCCATTCTCTGGAGAATTCTGGAGATTGGTACTATAGTGCATTACTATTTCTCAGATACAAAAACTGAGGCACAGAGAAGTTTAATAATTTGCCCACGGTCACATAGTCAATGAGCAGCAGGGATGTGCTTTGAGCTCTAGCACCAAGGATAATTATAGCATGTGCAAAGGTCCTGGGATGGGAAGAAGAAGCAAGGAGTGTTTAAAGAACAGGAAGGAAGGGAGGAAGGAAGGAAGGAAGGAAAAGTGGGGTGGGGGAGTAAGATGTGTGTAGTGACATGTGGGACCAGGGTACACAGTCAGCCTCCCACCCCCAGGAATAATCATGCTTTGTCCAAGTGACAACATGTAACCTGTGTCCTGTGGGTCTGGCAGGGGGACTCAGGCGGGCCCCTGGTGTGCAGCAAAGGCCGGGTGGCTGGAATCCTGTCCTTCAGCTCCAGAGACTGCACTGACATCTTCAAGCCCCCCGTGGCCACCGCCGTGGCCCCCTACATGTCCTGGATCAGGAAGATCATCGGCCGCTGGTCGGCCCCCCCACAGGCCTGATGCTCCACGGGTGACCCTGGCTCCTTCGTTGGCAGGACCTGCCCTTGCAGGATCATGGGGAGGGGCAGAGAGGGGACCGGACACAGCTCAGAGGACCAATAAATTGTAAAATTTAATAAAGAAATTGTAAGAGTCCTGCCTGGATTCTTTTTTTATTATTATTGATGAGAGAGAGAGAGAGAGAGAGAGAGAGAGAAACATCAATGATGAGAGAGAATATTGATCAGCTGCCTCTTGCATGTCCCCTACTGGGGACCAAGCCCGCAACCCGGGGCGTGTGCCCTGTCGGGGAATCAAACCATGACCTCCTGGTGCATAAGTCAATGCTTAGCCACTGAGCCACGTGGCAGGGCGAGGTTGCACTTTTGAGGCGGCTGCAGGGAGCCCAGCAGCAGGCGAGGGCAGGCTTCTCCCAGGAGGGGCTCCAGGGTGAGGCCCAAAGGGTGGCAGGCGATGCCACTGGGCACAGCTGGGAGCCACAGCCAGAGTTTGGCTGGCAGGGGGTGTGCTGGTGCTGGGGAGCCGGGTGGAGGTCACTGAACAAGCATTCCAGAATATTCTTCTTTTCATTTTTTAGTAATATCTTTACAGTATTGAGAAATAATTCACATGCCTTACAGTTCGTCCATTTAAAGTGCATAATTCAGTGGTTTTTAGTATGTTCACTAAGTTACATAACCATCACCCCTAATTCCAGAACATCCCCTTACCCCAAAAAGCAGCCCCGTCCCCATCAACAATCACCTCTAGCCCCTCCCCAACCCCTGACACCCCAAGTCCACTTCCTGTCCCTGTGGATGTGTCTGTTTCGGAGTTATCACATGAATGGGATCACACACTGTGTGGCCTTCTTGTCTGGCTTCTCTCACTGACCACCATGTGCTCAAGGTCCATCCACATTGTAATGAGTGTCAGCGCTTCGCTCCTCTCCATGGCTGAGTGAGTGACATTCCAGTGTGTGTGTTGTCCTTGAAGGACATTTGAGTGTGTCCATTTGACTGTTGTGAATTCACTGCCATGGACACGTGTGCACTAGTATTTGTGTGGACCCACCTTTCAGTTCTCTCGGGTGGGCACCGAAGGGGGAGATTGCTTGGCCGTAGTGGTTGTGTAACTGTTTGAGGCACTGCTGTTTTCCAGCAGAATCTTCGTATCATGAAAATCTGAAACACACAGCAAAATTGAAACAATGATACAGGGAGCACTTCGGTGCTTCACCGCTCCCTGTCCCTCTGTCCCTCTGTCCCTCTGTCCATCTGAGAGAGCTGTGGACGCTTTTCACAGCACAGTTCCCCAAACCCTTCAGCAGGGGCTTGAGTCCTTCCTCGTCCTCTGTCTCGCTCTGTGTCTTTGTCTCCATCTCTATCTCGCTCTCTCCCTTTCTCTTGACTACAGTAAAATGCATAAATCTGAGTGGATGGCTTGCTATTTTGACCAAAACTGACAATTGCTTGAAATCCCAATCCCAGCAGAGATGTGCATTAGTCACCCACAAAGACTCTACTGCCCCTCGCAGTCTTGCCTTAAATTTAGTTTTTAGCCGGGTAGCTCAGTTAGTTAGAGCATCGTCCTGCTACATGAAGGTTGCAGGTTTGATCCTTGATCAGGGCATAAATAAGATCAACCAATGAATGCAAACACTATCCACTTGGCTGGGCCTGGCTGTCAGCCGCAGGCCTGCCCCAGCCCCAGGGCACGTACCAGGAGCCTGAGCTGTCACCTCCTTTCCTCCTGCCCCTCACTCACCCCACCGTCATGATGAACCTGCCCGCCCAGATGTGAGGTTTGCTGCAAAGGCTGGTGCTTCTTTTTTTTCTAGTCCCAAAATAGCAGTCATATTCACTGAGCACTTACTAAGTTTCAGTCCTCTGCCAAGTATCAGGAAACATCAGGGGACTCCTTCCTTCTTGATCTATTACAGAGCAAGGGTGAGAAGGAAGGACAGACACGGTGTAAGGACAGGACGGGGAGGATAGAAAGTGCAGGTTCTCTCTCCTTTAAAAAAATGTTTTTTATTTCAGAGAGAGGAAGGGAGAGGGAGAGAGGGATAGAAACATCAATGATGAGAGAGAATCATTGATTGGCTGCATCCTACACACCCCCTACTGGGGATTGAGTCCAAAACCCAGGCATGTGCCCTTGACCGAAATCGAACCCAAGTCCCTTAAGTCCACAGGCCGACGCTCTATCCACTGAGCAAAATTGGCTAGAACAGGGTTTTTTGTTGTTGTTTTTTTCATTTATTTTTAGAGAGTGGAGGGGAGAGAGAGAGAAACATTGATGTGAGACACATCGATTGGTTGCCTCCCAAACTTGCCCTGACTGGGCTGGGATCAAACCTGCAACCCAGGTACATGCCCTTGACTGGGAATTGAACCCATGACCCTTTGGTGCATGGGCCAACACTCCAACCACTGAGCCACACCGGCCAGTGCTATAAGTGAATTTTTAATGTTTAACTTTCTACTAAAGCATCACCTTTGCAGATAACACACCCAGGTCACAACAGCCTGGTGACTTCTCACAAACCAAACAGTGATGCTGTGATTTAATCAGAATGTATGTTTGGGCTTCACCCACATTCCTGGCACAGGGCTTCTAAAACCTTGGGAGTTTCCTAACTGATAAGACCAAAGGGGTCTTTCGTTGATAACGAGTTCCCCTCAACCACATCTAGGACAGGGCTAAAAGTCAGAGAGACCCAGGGGTTAAAACAGCGATTTTCAACCTTTTTCATCTCCCGGCACTCACCTCTACTAATATTTGTGGCACACCAAAAACCATATTATATTTTTTGCCTATCTGACAAAAAACAAAAACAAAACAGGTGTAATTTTGATTCATTCACCCTGGACAGCTATTGTGTGGGCTGTTACCATTTTTTAATTTGATATTCTAAGGCAGGGGTCCTCAAACTTTTTAAACAGGGGGCCAGTTCACTGTCCCTCAGACCGTTGGAGGGCCGGACTATAGTTTTTAAAAAAAAACTATGAACAAATTCCTATGCACACTGCACATATCTTATTTTGAAGTAAAAAAACAAAACGGGAACAAATACAATATTTGTATTTGCATGTGGCCCGCGGGTCGTAGTTTGAGGACCCCTGCTCTAAGGGAAAAGAGGTCAGTGCCCCTGACTGAACAGTCAGGTACTGCATGTTTTAAAAGTTCTTGTAGCACACCGGTTGACAGTCGCTGGCTTAGAAGGTGGGAATTTTCAGTCCCAACCTGGGAAGGGAGGGTCTGCCAGCTGAGCGCAACCTAAACTCACACCCCTGTTCCTCGGAGACAGAAGCTCCTGCATTCGCGACCTTCTGGGTCTCACCCCGTGTGGCTCCTCTCCTGTCGGTCCGTGCCCTTCATCACCGCACTGCTTATTATTCTGTACTAGAGGAGATTCGTGCTGGGGGAGGGGGGTCCCCCTCAGCCCGGCCTGCACCCTCTTACAGTCCACAAGCCCTCAGGGAGGCCTCGCGGGGAGCAGGCCTAAGCCAGCAGTCGGACATTGTTAGCGCTGCCACAGAGGTGGGAGAGGCTCCCACTACCACCACTGTGCTGGCCAGCCATGAACCCCGCATCTGGCTGAGCAGCGCTCCCCCTATGGGAGCGCACTGACCACCAGGGGGCAGCTCCTGCATTGATCGTCTGCCCCCTGGTGGTCAGTGTGTCTCATAGTGACTGGTTGTTCTGCCGTTTGGTCAATTTGCATATTAGCCTTTTATTATATAGGATAAAAAGCAGGTACCCACATGGAAGGAAGTCTTTCCCTGAGGTCTGTGAGCAGCTCGAGCAAATTAATCAAACCCAAGGAGGGGGCTGTGGAAACCTCTGACTGTAGTCTGTCCATCAGAAGCACAGGTGACAACCTGGACTCTTTTTTTTAAATATGTTTTTATTGATTTTTAGAGAAAGAGAAAGGGAGAGGAATAGAGAGACAGAAACATTGATAAGAGAATGAGAGAAGAACATCATTGATCAACTGCCTCCTTCTCAGCCCCACTGGGTCCCATAGGGCCCCCACTGGGGATTGAGAGGGGATTGAACCCACAACCCAAGCATGTGCCCTGATCACTGAGCCACACCAGCTAGGCACAACCTGGACTCTTGACTGACACCTGAAGTGAGGGCAGTCTAGAGGGACCTGTCCTCCTCCCGCCCCACCTTTCATGGTGTGCATTTTCAAGCTGAAAAGTTGGAAGGTTTTACGGACAACAGTATATCCTGCCTCTGGATTGGGTAACATTTTGCCGTATTTGCCTGACCAATTATCTATATATGTAAAAGCTAAGCGACCATAACAACTAGTTGCTATGATGCTCACTGTGGCTGGCCAACTGACCCGATTGGGGTCGGGCTGGCCAGACCCCACCTGTGCACGAATTCGTGCACTGGGCCTCTAGTGTGTGTATATATACTTTAGAGGCTGAAGCATTTTAAAGTGAGTTCTGGCCCTTCATCCCTACATTAATTTACTTGCCTCTTGTCCCAGGAGGAGTGAGCACCCCCCCCCCATCTCCCCATGAGGCCTTCACTAGGGGTCACCGGGAATCCCACCCAAATTCCAATTCCTTTGCACTTAAAAAAAATCTTTTTAAGCTCTAGCATTGGTTAGAGCAGGCGTGGGCAAACTTTTTGACTCAAGGGCCACAATGGGTTCTTAAACTGGACCGGAGGGCCGGAACAAAAGCATGGATGGAGTGTTTGTGTGAACTAATATAAATTCAAAGTAAACATCATTACATAAAAGGGTACAGTCTTTTTTTTTTTTTTTTTAGTTTTATTCATTTCAAACGGGCCAGATCCAGCCTTCAGGCCGTAGTTTGCCCACGGCTGGGCTAAACAAATGATCAAACTAGGCTCTTTTTATACTTTTTAGACAAAGAAGCAGTGCATTTGTGAGAAATCACAGGAAGGAATCAGAGCAGGGCGTAAGCATGGTGGGAAGGCAGCAATGTGCTTATAGAAGCTCTTTGGTTCTGGACTCTTAGCTCTGGTAATGAGGGGAGAGTTACATCCTGAGTTTAGGTGGACAGAGAGGTCAGGGTACTCTTCTTGCACAAGCAGTTTCTCAAGTAACTTTGATGCAAAATAATTAATGTGCAATTAAAG